GCATTGGTCCAAAAGTCTCTTTGAAGACTCTGGAGGGACAGATGTGGGTTTAAACTTCTCAACAGTTTTAAGTCTGGAAGCGAGACTGGTTGAAACTGATGGGAGTGGAGAAAGTAGAAACATGAGAGAGTTACGGGATGAAGCGTCAGTTCTGTGCACAGAAATCATCTTCACAGAGTAGGTTAGAAAGTTGGTGCACAGCATATTTAACATACGTGACCACTGATGGCAGAATTAGTCATGTTAGAACAAACTGTGGTGATTAAAGTTAAACGTCAGGAGGATTCACCCTCAGCCACGGTAAACAGTGACATGAAGATGTGCATTTTCATGCTGCTGCTGGTTTCTAATATTTGGATTTATCTGTTTGCAGGCGCTGCGTTCACTGAGGGTCTGTCCAGCGGTCTCAGCACGTCTGTGGCTGTTTTCTGCCACGAGCTGCCTCATGAGCTGGGTGAGACTTTTTCATCTTCTCTCAGTGGAACATTTTCTCTGTAAGCCTCGGTCTTACCTGCATAAAGTACTTTATTGTTGCAGTGGAATAAAGAGATATTAGCTTTGAAAGAATGAAAAAACCTTCTTTCAGACTTTTAAACATCTGTTCATTTAAATATGGAAACCTTGGGAGGTCACAGCATGTTTATTTTGTTATGAAATCAAAATCAAAAATCAGGCACTCCTTAATTCTCTGCCTGCATGTGTTGGTCGCAGCTGATTCCTGCGTCGTGCAGTCGTTTTGAAGCAGTAACATCACAGTAAGAGACAGACAAGGTTTAAATGTGTGGAGCAGCAGAAGCTGAAGAGCTCGTTCCTTTCTGCAAATGCAACACAGCTCAGTTATTCAACCACCTGAAAATACACCACAAACTGCACGATCTTTAATGCATGAAGGCAAAGAGAAACAGTGCAGTGGCTGCAAGGCTGAACCAACCAACAGCAGCTCAGAGCGAGCTGTGCAGCACGTCTGTCTTTGTGCACAGTCCTGCTCTTGATTCTTTTCACGTGTTTCTCTGATGTTAGTTTGATTTATTAGCTATCCCGTCCTTGGACACAGTCTGATCCTTAGTTTAGTTCACGGTCAGAGGTTTAATCCACATCCATCATGCGGGCGCAGCAGTCTTAGTGAGTAACAGTCTTCTCCGATTCTCAGGTGACTTCGCGGTGCTCCTGAAGGCCGGCATGACGGTGCGTCAGGCCATTCTTTACAACGTGCTGTCGGCCATGATGGCCTACCTGGGCATGATCACCGGGATTTTGATTGGACACTATGCCGAGAACATCTCCACGTGGATATTCGCCCTCACGGCCGGGCTCTTCATGTACGTGGCCCTGGTGGACATGGTAAGTGAGCATTACCCTCCAGCCAATCAAAAGGGAGCATCCACTCTGACATCCTGATCCACAGAGCGAGAGGTTCACTTTTAATGCTGTGAAATTTAAATAAATATTCCACATAAAAACATTCATTTTGCTTGACACGAAATACAGAGTTCAGCCTGAGATGCAGATACTGCCATCATTTTATTGGCATAAATATCATAAATCGTAAAAATCCCATCATATAAATGTCTGTACGTCTGAAAAAACAGCTGCAGGAGGGTTTAGTGCCGGAAAACACAGCAGAGCTTCTTTCTCCTGAACAAAGGCGCCCTCTTGTGGCTGTCGCCCTGCTCTGCACTCTAGAAAAGCTTATTCGAATTTTTTTTTACCTCCTAGTGGTGTAACCGGGTACTGCAGCAGATGTGCGGTGTATTGTCCGTTCATTTAAGCCTTTAAGACCTACCATAGAACCAAGTCCGCCAGAGCTTATATTATAT